CTGCTCGGGGCTTGTGCGCCGAGAGCCGGAGCGACGTGGCAGCCCGCGGTGCGTGGGTGCTCGTGTGCCCGGGAGGTGCCCTCCTGGCAGGGGCAGCGCGGCCGCATCTGCCATGCGGCCCCTGCGCTCCGGGCAGGGCAGGGCAGGGCAGGGCAGGGCGGGCCCAGGCCTCGCTCCGGACTTGTTCGTGTCCCACTTCCCGACGCGGCCCTCCGCCCCGGCCCTTTCAACGCTGCCAGAGCGGCCCAGGGGCCCTTGGCTCAGGGAGGCTCAGCGCTCTGCCCAGAGGAAGCGCCGTCCCGCTGCTCCCGCCTGCGGCAGGATGTTCTTAAAGGGCCGTCTGCCCCTTCCTCTCCCCGAGCACAGGGAAAGCTCCAGGCGGTGGAGCAGGCAGCTGCGTCGGGGGCAAGCCTCGCCCACCCCCGGGCTCTTGGTTCTTGGCTGGGCAGGGGCACGGGTGGGCAGACGGCACAGGCCCAGCTTAGGCGGAGGAGAGCGGGCGTCTGGCCTGCAGGACGATCTAGCGCAGCCAGCTGCCATCCTGCCTCGGGACCAGCCCTGGAGCAAGACGGTGCGTATGCTTTGACGGGGCGCAGCGGGGCTCCCGCTGCAGTCCCTGCCCCTTGGCAGCACCAGGTCGAGCAGCTGTAGGTAGCAGTCTGGCACATCTGTCTGGTGCGGCGTGGCCGGGACGGCCGCGTGCCTGCGCAGTGCCCGGGTCGGTGCGGCCTGCGGCAGCAGGGACCCTTGGTCTGTGGGCAGGCTGTGGCTGCACGATGCTGCCCTGCCTTGCCGAGATGCCCGGGAGATCGCCCTGCTCGTGCCCCTTCGGGCACTGCCCTGCTCCCGGGCTGCAGCTCGGAGCCTTTCTCTGTGCGGAGCCGCCCGGGAGAGCAGGGCTGTGCCCGGTGAACCTTTGGGCAGCTGTGGTCGTGCTTGTCCCCCTGAGCGCAGCACAACCGTTGCAAACAGGAGGCCTCTTCCCATCTCGGTGCCCTGGGCCGTTCACACGGGGCCAGTGCTGGCTGACCCAGCCTGCGCTGGTGGGGACGCTGTGTCCTCCTGCCCCCGACCTCTCAGCGTGGCCACGGCTCTGGCCCCGGGGCTGGGTCATCGTCCCGGTCGTGTGCAGGCAGGAGAGACGCTGGTCGGGCAGGGAAGCTGCTCAGCGAGGGCCCCGAGGGAGCCCTCGCCCCAGGGCGGTGCCAGGATCCCGCTTCCCGGGCAGAGCTGAGATCAGCGGGTGGAGCCGGAGTCTGCCTGGCGCGGCGAGCGTCTTGGAGCTGGTTTCTGGGGCTGTTGTGTTGCCCGGGCAACCTGCGCGGGGCTGAGCTGCCTGGTGCCTTCGAGCTGGGGCAGGGGCAGCCGGGCCGGCACCCGCAGCGCCCACGCGGGAGCTCCCCCACCGCATCCCCTCCCTGCGCCACGCTGCTCCGTGGCCCGGGGCGGAGGTGTCGCGGGTGAGGCCCTTGGCGGCCCTGCTGGGGCGGGGGGTCACCGTCAGCTCCAGCACTGCTGGGCGCTGGCCCAGCTCAGGCGGGTCGTGGTCCAGCGTGCTGCCTGGCTGTGTGGACAGGTGGGCACGGCATGGGGCAGGGCGGGCTCCCGGCTCCGAGCTGGGCCGGTGTCCGCTCCGGCCAAACGCCGCCCTGCTCGTTCTGTCCCTTCTCTGCCCCTCGCAGCGGCCAGCTCTGCTGGGCCGCCAGCTCCAGGCGCTGTGTCCGGGGCCGCGGGCTGCCTGCTCCCGCCTCCGACATTCCCAGGCTGGAAGGGAGAGGCCCGCGTGGTGCCGTAAGTGCGTTAGCAGATGGGGAGCGAGCAGGCTGCCAAGCTGGAGGCGGTGCCGGGGCTGCGTGCTGTACCCTTGACTCAGTGGCTGCAGGAGTGACTCACTGGGGCTGGACGGTGGCGGGGGGTCCTAGAGCAGGGAGCTGCTTCCCTGGGCCAGGCAGCGCCCAGGCTTCCTGGCTCCTTGAGAGCAACCCCAGGTGCCCGGTGCTGCCATGTCCCTGCATCCAGCCCTCGGGAGGGCAACGGTGCGCAGGTGTCCCCGCGTGCGGGCCGGCTCTGCTCTCGGGAGTCCCTGAGCCTGGGCTGCATCCTGGCCTCCCACCCGCGAGGCACCGCCAAGCTCCCGGGGCTCGCGGTGCCCGGGCCCAGGGCGGGCGGAGGCGGGAGAGGGCGGACGTGCGTGGGGTGGCCGCTTTGCAGACTGGGCTGGGGCCAAGCCGAGGCCGCGTGGAGCCACAGGGTGGGTGGGCTGGGCAGCCAGGACCCCTGGCTCCAAGGCAGAGCAGCACAGCTCGCAGCCGCACATCCCAGCGCCCTGCACCTTCGAACAGGCCCTGGCTGGAGACGTGAGGCGTCTACCAGCCAGCGCCTGGGCCGGGGCCGAGGGCTGGCACAGCAGCCCCTGGCTGGGCTGGGGGAGTGGGCGGCCGCAGCTCAGCTTCGCTGGGCAGCCGGCCCCCGCGCGGCCTGCTCGGAGGTGAAGCGCGTCTGGCTCACCTCGCCCCTGCCTGGCAGGAAGAAAGGGCTTTTTGTTCGCTCGCCGGATTGTCTGGCCGGAAGGATTTCTGTGGGAGCGGGGCCCAGCCAGGGAGCAGCCCCCCCGGGGTGCAGGAGGCTCCGGCTCCGGCTCCTTCAGGGGACCGTTGCTGTCTGGCGGTAACGCGCCGACCTCTTGGCATTTGCTGCCTTCGCCTCTTCTCACGGCAGCGGGAACAAGTGGAGTGTTCTGCAGGCGGCTGCGCGAGAAGAAAGGCGGCCTTGTGGCGCCCGAGGTGGGGCTGGCCGGGTCGGGCTGCGCTCGCATTCCTCCCACAGAGGCCTCTTGTGAGGGGCGCCACGGCCTGTGCCCGGGCCTGCCGCGGAGCAGCGCGGGGCGCCCA